ATTTCAATACAAATCAATAATTTATGCCAATCTAATGACGTCATTGGACCATATCATTAGATAAGATGCATATAAGACGTTTGCTTCAGAAAAATTGTAGCGCAAAGTAATTTTAAATGCCAAAATGCTTGAGTCTTATCCCGTTTTAGTATAGCGTTTTAAGTAGTCTGTTGGCTTTAAGTTGGGGCGTTGAGATTTGCGTTTTGTTACCAATTTCTATTCTTTACTTTTTATGTAGTAATAACGCCTTATATGTCTATGGAATATCTCATGACATTATTGTTCTTAAGAGATCTTCAAATTCTGACCTTGTCGAATGAAGATGTCGTCATTGGCGTTGACGCCCCAGACGGAGTGTCCTGATGAGATCTGCTTCAGTTTCCCCTCGATCTTCACCCAGCCGCTGCCCGAGGACGCTTTATTTTCCAAGGTTCCCGAACGATAGAAGATGTCGTCATCGCGATTCACTCCCCAGACTCCCCTGGACCCAACAGACACGAACTTCAGCAGACCGTCAACTGACCTCCATGCCGGGTCTGCGAAAAGAAATTACATTGTATAATATATTAGTCGATACAAATAGCAAAATTTATAAGTTATGTGAAAGGCTATTTTTCATCCGTGAGCAGGTGGGTGAAAAACCGTGCAAGACAGACTGCCAGCCTTCTAGTGGTTCTTCCCGGGCTCCAGGGGCGAGGAAAGACTCGGGGAGTGAGGAGGTGGAAGGTTGATGTGCATTTGGAGGTTTCCCTTGTTTTTTTGTTGGTGAATTTTGGAGTTAGAATGGATTTGGAATTGTTGGCAAGTTCGCACATGTGTATGAGAGTTGTCTGTCGTTGCACGTGCATTGCCTCTCGTCATGCTGAGGTCTGTTCTTCTCGCAGGCGGGGCGTGCTCGGGCAGTATGTATTTATTTATTTATGACGATTTACCACATTTGTGGAAGGATTGACATAACAGGTGACTATCACCTTTTCAAAGATGTCAAACCTGAGACCAGACTGTAATGTTTGAACCACTCACACCGGGAAGGTCCCCTACTCTTTTCGATAAGTGTGGTGGGTTCTTTAACGTGCGTGGGGTGTGGCTCTCCCAAACACGGGACCTCCATTTAACGTCCTATCCGAGGGACGTCCCTAGCCGAAGCTAGGTACTCATTTTCACCTGAGTGAAGTGAGGAAAGTCGTGTAAAGTACCTTTCCCAAGGGTACAACGTCGCGGCGCATGTTCGGACTTGTTCGGGTACGACCCGGAATCGAACCCGGGTCTCCCCGTTTCATAGTCCAGTGATGTACCACTACACCACACGACGCCACAAATGGCGTATGTATGGCGTACAAGTGTTAGCACGCCTCGCTAAAGGAAGACATCTAATTGTGGATGTGTGGTAGATGTCACAGGTACCGGTCGTGCCGGGAGGGGGACCCGGATTAGGACCGCCGGGAGCAGTGCAGCAAGCCGCCGGGGCTCAAGGAGGTGGACCGCCGGGAGCAGTGCAGCAAGTCGCCGGGGCTCAAGGAGGAGGACCGCCGGATGACCCTTGGATGGCTAACACTACAACAACGCCGACAACTCCAAAACCTAACACTAATGTATAAAGCAATAAACAACCACATCGCCATACCATTACACTCCATCCTCACTAAAAAAAAACAACAGCACAAGAGGGCATCAGCTTCGTTTTCATACATTTTCATGTAAAACAGATGTCTACAGAAGTAGCTATTTCCCAAGAATAGTAATCGAATAGAACAGCCTGCCAGTTAATCTAGTTAATGAAACAACAACCGATGAGTTCAAAGCTGGGGTGGCCAAGCAATATGGCCATCCCAGCGCCACACATTAACCACATTTAACCCTGGCCGACTATTTTGTATATATCACAGTTTCAATTATTTCCTCTTTTCACATTGCCATACTATATATTTTTGTTTGTTTGTGCACCACCACTGGTCGCGCAGGGTACTGCCCCCCCCCCTGGACGTTATACCCCTTGAGGGGAGCACGTCGTCAAAACGTACTGCGCCTGCGCAGAACCCTGTATTTTCACGGTTTTCGGTGGATTTTTGCTCAACGTTGCATCAGAAATTCGCCTGTTGCAGGAGATATCTTTTCCGACATAACATTTGGAAACTACAGACAGAGTGTTAACCTTATATGAGCGAATTCAACCTTATATGAGATGTTCTGCTAAAGTGCTATGCACAATACATTACGGGTGTTGTGTCCCATGCAAACCGTGCCTTGTCCCAAACCATGTCTGGGCATGGTCTGGGACACTCGGCACGTGTCCCGAACCGTGCCTGGGAACTGAGCACAGTTTGGGACACGCGGATGCCTTGTCCCAAACCGTGCTTGGGACACTCGACGCGTGTCTTAAACCGTGTCTGGGGAAAATCTACATTCTGGGACACGCGGGGGACTATCCAGAGCCGTGCCTGACCGCACACAGTTCTGGACACGTATTATTTAAGATTGCGTGCTATTAGACTGAACACAGTTGTCATAAGATGTGTCCCAAGCGAGTTTCTTTCTTGTATTAACTAGTCTCTGTATATTATCATCTAAGTTCATATCGACCAACCATAAGGCTACGTTGTGAGAAAACTGCGCGTTTTGAAAGCACATGTTGTACACAGACTCGCAAAATCCCAAGTAATCTAACCATATAATAAATCGTGGGCGTGAATAATTATGTTTAGGTCCCCGCCAATCACTATGATTGACAGCGCTTCCGGGCACGGTTCTGGACAGTCAGGCTGTGTCCCGTTCTGTGCCCGCTCAGGCACGGAATGGAACGGGCACAGTTTGGGACAAACTGACAACTGACAACTTATGTTTGGTCGACATGAAATTAGATAATAATATACAGAGACTAGTTAATACAAGAAAGAAACTCGCTTGGGACACATCTTATGAGAACTGTGTTCAGTCTAATAGCACGCAATGGGACAAGCTTTAAATAATACGTTGTGTTGTATCAAGAACTGTGTTCGCACTGTGTTGAAGAATGATACAAGACACTCTGTTTGGACACTACATGTAAGTCGTAGACCAGCGTGAAATGTAAAAATGTACTTTACAGAGCAAGAATTACACCGATTTTTTCTTATTCTTGCCCCGGAAATCAAGATGGCGGCCGTCGTGCAGTAGGTGGATTTTCTGCGCTCAGACCCTTTGCTTACGATCCGTTTATTTGACGCTTACCGACGTTTAAAGACCCTGTCAATGTCCCTAGACGGATGGTTAATGGTTAAGACACGGTCTAAAAAACGTCAACGTCGCTCAGGGTCCGGTAGTGACGATTTGAACAGTTCTACACGTTTGACCGGAGAAGACGCTATGGCGGACAAGCTTCTAGACGAGTTAAAAGCCACAATCGAAGCCGCGCTTCAACCCGTTCACGAAAAGCTGAATGACATGGCTACAGCGAGAGACGTACAGTCTCTACGGGAAGATGTGGAACGGGTGCTACAGTATACCAGGAGGAACAGTTTACGCATTCGTGGCATCCCTGAGGTTAACAAAGAAACTGGGGAGATGTGTGTGCATAAATTTGTTAATTTTTGCAGAGTTAAACTCGGCCTGCGGATTTACAGCCGCAGTGCATCGATCGCGCACACCGAGTCGGCACTAGGAAGGAGAACGCTACGCGGCTGATGCTGGTCAAGTTTGTATCCTGGCAAGACCGTAACCGCGTGTTTCGTGCACGGAGCAAGCTGAAAGGCAAGCGCGATGAGCAAGACAAGTCTCTCCTGGTCCTGGCGGATTTAAACAGACAGAACATGAGTATCTTCTCAGCGGCGCTTTCTGCCAAGAACAAAGGTCGGATCAGAGACACATGGGTGGATGCTAACTGCAGGATCATGATAACTCTGATGGACAAGACAACCAAGAACATTGACTGTGTTGAAGACCTGCCTTAGTTTTCACAGATTAGTTAGATGACTGTGTGTGTAGAAGAAACTGTTTTTGATCATTCTAGAACATGCGATTTCTGTACGTATCGACATGTTTGTATTCTCCATATAAAGAATTCTCACCTGTTCAAAGCGCGCCCATTATTATTATGCTAATGTATGATCTTCTTACTTGTAGACTTTTTGTTTTGGCCGATTGTTTTACATGTGACTTCTCTGAAAGTCTGTATTGAAGACCTCCTTAGTTTTTACAGCTTAGTTAGATGACGGTGTGTAGAAGCCCTTTTTGATCTTTTGTAGAACATGCGATTTCCGTATCGAAAGGTCTGTATTCTACACATGAAGAATTCTCACCTGTTCAGAGCGCGCCCATTATTATTATGCTAATGTGATGGTCTTCTTCTTGTGGACACTGTTTTTGAAGTGGCCGTTTGTTTTTCATGGGACTCATTTTCCGTATTAAACATATGTATCTGATGAACTCTCAGAAATATGGATCTTTATTTTAGTATGGATTAAGGTGTTTTTGTTAATTGTAAGCTTAGGAGTAGCGCTGTCCTTTACGTGCCTGGTTGATGGTTCAGCCAAACAATTTTCTTGTTTTATTTTCGTTTTTGTGTTACATTTGTTGTTATAGAGCCCTCCCTGATTCACGTGTATATTCAGCCACAGAAATTGATATGATAATGAAATATTGTCAACACATTGAGGCAGTTTTTGATTTAAGTATAATTTTGAACAAAATGAAGTATTTGCTTGATCTTTTTGATTATCCTCTGTTAACAATCAGTTTGGATTTTGTAAGAGATTACTATTATGTTCCATCTTATTTTGTTATCTTATTTAATTACTATATAGAATTTTTGTGTTCAAAATATCGTTATATAAGTTATGATTCTGTTGATATGATTTTGTACCTGAATTACCGTAATCACTCAATTGAATTATCATATGAATTATTTTGTTACTTTGTCAAGCTATATGATTCAGTTACTCTAAAAAAAATATTCAGATTTATGGCTAGAATTTCAAGATTCCAGACATGTTTGATCAATACGTACCTTGTACGTAATTCTTGTTTGAGTACATGTCTAACCTTATTTTCAAGTGCTTTTTGCTTTATACTATTTAATTTTTGCTTTGACATTGACTTTGATTATTTGAATCATTTTGATTTGAACTCAGTGTTATGGCAAATTGTTCCCCAAGTTTATTTCCTTTGTAGATCATCAACATCAAACTCAATCCGACGCCCCGATGACCTCTCCTGGCTTTCCTCTCCGAGACGTTTATTTTCCCAGAAGTCATGTCTAAGGTAGAGTGTCATATTTCTAGTTATAATTGTAATGGGCTGGGGGATTCCTAAAAGAGAAGGGGGCTTTTTACTTGGTTAAAAGAAAAACCGTACCATATATATTGTTTACAGGAAACACATACTACTGTTAGCCTGTGTATACACAAGCTCTCGGCTGGAGGTTAATGACCGGGGTGGCAACCTAGGGCGGCGGCCGCCAGGAGCGCGATTTAGTCAGGCTAATACTACTGTTAGAGATGAAAATATATGGCAGAACGAATGGGACGGTCAGGTAATCTTCTCGCATGGTACTTCCAATCAAAGGGGGGTAGCTATTTTAATTAAGGTCAACGCCAGCGCCCAGGTTCATCAGGTTAAGACTGATGAGGCTGGGCGGTGGATTATTTTAGACATCGAGGTAGATAATTTACATTTTTGTCTTGTTAATTTATATGCTCCAAATGACGACTCTCCGTCCTTTTTTAAGGAATTGGAGGAAGTAATAAGTACATTCGACATAAGTGATGAACACCTAATTGTGGTTGGGGATTTTAACACAGTTCAGAATTCCGCTATGGACAGATCGGGGGCCCGACTACGAAATTACCACCCTAACTTGCTTGATGCTATTTCAGAACTGAAAGGAAATTTTGATCTGCATGATGTATGGCGTTTTCGAAACCCTAATGTTGTCCGTTATACCTGGCGGCGTGGGCTCTATGCTAGTAGATTAGATTATTTTCTAATATCCTTTTCGTTATTAAACAGAGTTACTAAATGTTCTATCGCAGATAAGTTTAGATCGGACCATAATCTGATCACTTTATCTTTTGTAACTGTGGACTTTCCGCGAGGGCCGGGCTACTGGAAATTTAATCAGTCCCTTCTTGAAGACAAAATTTTCCTTTTACAAACAAAAAAAGTTATGTCCGAATTTTTTGAAAATAATGTCAACACCGCAAACCCTCAGATTGTTTGGGATGCGGCAAAATGCTTTTTACGTGGCCATTGTATTAAGTACTGTAGTTGGAAAAAGAAACAGTATTTGGTGAAAGAAAAGCAACTTAATGATGAAATTAATATTTTACAAAATGAGATCGATAATACCGCATCTCCCCAACCCGCACAACTTGATGAATTAATATGTAAACAAAAATTATTGGAATCATTGTACAACGAACGTTTAAATGGTATTTTAATAAGGTCAAAATCCAGATGGATTGAGTTAGGGGAAAGATGTACAAAATATTTTATAAGTTTAATTCGTCGTAATTATACAAGAAAAAATATACAAAGACTCAAGAGGCCCTCGGGTGAAGTTACGTCTAATCCGCACGATATTCCATCTGATCAGGTTGATTTCTTCTCTGCACTTTATTCGTTTGAGGACATACCAATATCCCTAACTGATGAAAATTGTAATGGGTTTTTCCCCCGAGACTATCGAACACGATTATCTAATGAGCAGCAAAAACTTTGTGAAGGACTTATATGTGAAGAAGAATTAAAAAACGCAATCCTTTCATTTCAGTCTGGGAAATCACCGGGACTTGACGGCATACCCGTAGAAGTATATAAAACGTTTTTTGATATTTTTTAAACAAAACAATGTTAACTTGTTTTAATTATTCTTTTGACAACGGGTGTTTGTCTGACACTCAAAGGAAAGGGCTTATTTCCCTACTTCTCAAAAAAGATAATAAAGGCATTGACAAGGACCCAACCGCTATAGGAAATTGGCGCCCCCTAACTCTTCTAGGATGTGACACCAGAATTTTATCCAAGTGTATTGCTTTGAGAATTAAACAGGTTATTGCAGACATAATTGATAAGGATCAGACGGGATTTATCAAAGACAGGTACATAGGGGATAATATTAGAAGATTACTTGATACAATTGAGTACTATGAGCAAGAAAACAAGCCAGGGTTAGTATTTGTAGCTGATTTTAAAAAGGCTTTTGATACTGTTAGGTGGGATTTCATTTTTAAATGTTTAGAATATTTTAACTTTGGACCGCAACTGATAACATGGGTTAAGGTTTTGTATAGAAAAAACAACAAGTTCTATTATTAATAACGGTTATATTTCAGTTCCATTTACTTTAAATCGCGGAGTACGGCAAGGATGTCCGTTGTCCCCATATCTTTTTCTTATGGCGGTTGAGATTCTTGCAATTAAAATTAGGTCAAATCATTCTATTCGGGGTTTAAGGATCTATGAAAAAACTACAAAAATATCGCAATATGCCGACGATTCGAATTTTCCTTTTGAACCAAATTTAGAATCCTTTTATGCCTTGTTGTCTGATTTGGAGCGTTTTCTAATATTTCCGGCCTTTCTTTAAATATAGATAAATGTAAAATATTACGATTAGGTCCCTCGAAGCTCTCGAATTTTCGCTTACCTACACATTTACCATTACAGTGGGTTGATGGTGATGTTGATTTACTAGGTATCAATATTCCTATAGATATAACGTCAATTACCAGTACTAATTTTGAACCCCGACTGGAAAGATTGGATAGATTACTACGCCCCTTAAAGAATAAATATTTATCTCTTTATGGTAAAGTTGTTGTCGTCAATACCCTGGTGATTCCCCTATTTACAAATTAATTTCAAGTCTTGCCATCCCCAAATGACTTATTCTTCAAATTATATGAAAAGAAAATATTTTCCTTTCTCTGGGACGACGGTCCTGAACGAGTCGCAAGGAAGGTTGTGTACAATACTGTGGAAAATGGAGGATTGAATTTAATTAATTTGCGTGCATTCAATACTATCATGGGTTCCAAAACTTTACTTTCACCCAGAGTGGTTTTCATCTTGGGTAATAGTTTTCCATTCTCAATTAAGTTTGAGTTTATTCCCTTTCTATCAACTGTCCTCGGTGAACTGCCTTTGTTTAAAAGGATTTTTTGCTGAAGTTTTTAAAGCCTGGTTTACATTTCAGCGCATAGAACCTATGTCGCCATCAAATATACGACAACAAATAATTTGGTTAAATTCTGATATTATTATTGACGGCAAAACCATATGCATTACTGCATTGTTAAATAGGAATATTTATTTTATTAATGATTTGTTGTCTCCAGAAGGACATTTAATGTCGTATGCAGAATTTTGTATAAAATATCCCAATACGTGTGATCAACACAGATATTTACAATTGATTTCTGCTATACCAGGCAAATGGAAAAAAGTACTTAGCAGTGAGAAGTGGAAGGAACTTGTGTGTTTGCCCACTCAAAGAAATTACAAATGGTTACGTGATAAAAAAGTAAACAAAAGCATGTATCTCCACTTTCTCTTGTCTATCAAAGAAGTTAGTTTACCCGAGAAAATTAGATTATCATGGTTTTACTATTTTGACAAACCAATACCATGGCGAGAAGTTTTCACAAATTTATATAAATGTACAATTGATCCTAGTAGTAGATATTTTCAATACCGTCTGATCAATAAATTTTTACCTTGTAATAAAGTCCTGTATATATGGAAATTGGTGGACTCTAGTTCCTGTTCGTTCTGCCATAACGATGAAGAAACCTATGTTCATGTTTTCTGGGAATGTCCACATGTTGTACTATTTTGGAATAATATACAAAATTGGCTAAAAGAGGAAACTAATACTAGAAAGGCCGACATTTGCTTGGGAGCAAATACAGCATATTTCAGTCCATCTCCCTCCCACGCAAAAGTGGACTATTCCAAACTTACCCCAGTGCAAAACTGGAATATTCTCAAATGAATTATATAGTAGCTATGTAATTGAGAACAAAGATGCATGAACAAGCACTTTGAGTCTCGACAGTTTTACTTACAAAATTTCACATCACCACTCTTATCTCACAATACTATTACAGGTACTTACAATGATGAGATTTGATACATTTTGAAGGTCTAATTGCAAAGAAAAGGAAACTATACATGACTATATATTGATTAACTATAAAACTATACATATATAAACTATACATATTGAACTATACATTAATCAAATACACTATGACACTATACATAAATATTGAATAAGATGTACATGACTTGCATATACTCTAAAACACTACATTCATACATGAAATAATCAACATATGATTGACATGATTTTATATCATACATGTACTATGCCACTACAAATATCAGATGTTGAATATGCTATACACGACTTGTATACACTAAGAAACTACTACATTCATATTGAATAATCTACACATGGTTGGCATAATTATACCTGTATACCTTACATTTTCTATGTAACTACATATATTATTGATATTTGAGAAGATTTACATGACTTGTATATACAATTATTTACAAAATTATATACCATTCATATACTATGTGCTGTATCCTTCTGCTGATGGCTGGTTCCTCCCCGGTCTGTTTCTCCTGGACCAAGTTCTGCTTCCTTCCCTAGGAGAGGTCCCACCTAGGCCTAGAGGAAACAGGACAGTAAGATTTAAAAGCTGAGCCGAAACCAAGGACCTATAACCTCCTTGCAGAAATCATACATTGTAATTAGTCAATTCTTGACTTAAAAAAATACAATCTACGTGTGCACACTTTGCTACTGACACAACAATTTTCACCTGACATCATCTTTTGTCAAATATTTGTAGATTCTTCTTCCTTCTTAGCACAAGCTTACCTGCTGTATGCTCTGTGCAGGATCTTCCAACCATGTAACTGCTTGACCCTTGAAACAAAAGAAAAAAATAGATTTATTACAGACTGTGTTACAATAATGAACATCTCTAAACAAGGGATTACATGGAAATTTCTTTTTAGTTAGAATGTGACAATAACAAGGAAAATGGAAGGAAAATATAACAATACCATTGATGGCATTACAAAAATAAAACGTATATCAAGGAATGAAGAAAAACGTATGGGATATGTGCCAAATCCAATGTGACGTTCTTAAAATGACTGGTCTCCTGAAAGAAACAAAACTGGATTAGATAGAAAATATGGTATGGAGTGAAATTTTATTGATAATAATTGAAAGAAACACCATTTTTGTTGTTGATGTAATTTTTCATTTCGTCATTTATTTTACATATTGTTTTTCATTCCTGAGATCTACCCCCTGCACCGGGGTCTCTACCCCACTCATCGGGGTCTTATAGCCTGGGGCCTCTCTCTTTTCCCCTATCCACCTCTCTCCTCCCCAATTACGGGGGGAGTTCCGTGGTTTACCTCCCTCCTCCCCAATCACGGGGTTACCTGCCTCCTCCCCAATCACGGGGGGGGGGAGCTCTGACCTCCCTCCTCCCCAATCACGGGGGGAGCTCTGTGGTTTACCTCCCTCCTTCCCAATCACGGGCCGGGGGAGGGAGCTCTGTGGTTTACCCACCTCCTCTTTTTCCTTCCTCCTCATAAATCACAGGGGAATCACAATATTCATTACAGCATCAAACTACATTGTACTCCTTGACAACTCAAGTATGGTATTTAGTGAAATTTATAATAATTAAGAGAGCATTTTTGTTGTTGTTGATGTCATTTTTCATTTATTTTACATATTTTTTTTTCATTCCTGAGATCTACCCCTTGCATCGGGTCTCTACCCCATTAACCGGGGTCTCTACCCCAGTCACCAGGGGTTACTTTTTCCACCCTTGTCCCAATCACCGGACAAGCTTGTGGTTTTCCACCCTCGTCCCAATCACCGGACAAGCTTGTGGTTTTCCACCCATGTCCCAATCACCGGACAAGCTTGTGGTTTTCCACCCTCCTCCCCAATCACGGGGGGAGCTCTTTTTCCTTCCTCCTCACAAATCACAGAGGAATCAAAATATTCATCTCGGCATCAAACTACATTGTACTCCTTGACAACAACTAAAGTACTACCTTCATCCTCTGACTGCTCTGGTACCTGAGCACAACACAACACACAATATACTGCATCATGGTAGCTGTAAAATGTCTGTATCACACCATGATTTACAACATGTGATAATGCTGACATGTACACATGATCGATGAGAGTTCCTTTCATAGTCGTAGGAGCCTCTATCAACTGTTCATAGCCATTTCTCATCAAACATGACTGAATCTTTTTGTTATCCTCACTCGACAGTAAATTCTCATTAAAGTCCACGGCGGTCTGTCACTACGGCATTCTTTCCCATTGCTATGCGCGTTCGAAAAGGTATCGGGTTACAAAACGCTATTTTGGCCTGTTTTGGACTACCCGTAAAATATTTGAAAATAAACAAATAATATTTAGGGGTAAATTTCGTCAAATAATAATGAAATTATCGTCTTAACATCCTTTAAATGTTAGCTTTTTATGTTAAATCTTTGATTTTTTAAAATTTCGCTCAGAAAGACGATTATTTTCGGCTTTCCGAGCACAAGTCTTGTCACGTTTTTAGGCAAACATCGTTCAAACCTGGCTACGTATATTACCCCAGATCCCCGATTTTTATATTTTTCGCAGACTAGGAATAAGATGAAAAATCGTGTTTTAGGGATTTTTTAATTTCTGATTTTAAGTCTAGTTTTTGTCGACATATTGGTGAAAAAATGGCATTTTTTGACATTTTTCTCACTAAATTACCCATAATTCAAAATTGAGGCCATTTTTCAAAAATCCCTAAAACACGATTTTCGGGACAACCGTTACAGTCATTTTGAGCCGTAAATGGGGTATGTTTGACTCTCCATGTTTCCAGGTTTGAACGAGTTTTGGAGACATGTCATATCGCCAGAAAGTGTGCATTGTGTTATTCATACTGGTGTAAAGAATCATTACAGTATTCAAGGTCACCCAAGGATACGACAGTAGCTTCGCTACATGTTACATACCCACCAAAAAGTATAGCGGGCATGTACTGTCCAGGAAACTGTTTGTATCTATAGAAAAGTGTTGTTTTTTTATCTGTTGCGAGGCACTCAGGCAGAAGGGCTTGTTTTGCCACTTTATTGTAAATGACCGCAGGTGACCCCGAAATGGAACGCGGGTTTGATTCGAATTGCCCAGATCGAACACGATCGAACACAGTTCGGATTCTATGAAATGTGGGAACTTTGCAGCCCAGATTTGACCACCGTGGTCGCCCAGTATGACAGTGTTGTTTCTTTCCACTGCAGTCAAGTGCTGCAACAGTTTCTCCAAACTGGATATGAACAGGTCTTTGAGTACATTCGGCGCTCTATAAATGGCTACAATAATATGATCCATGCCTTCAGCAGAAACTTGGGTAACCACACATTCTAGACCGATGTCATCTGGGATGGGAATTTCTGAGCACCTGTATACATCACGAACATACACAGCCACACCGCCATGAGGGGCATTACTTGTCGCACTAGAACCATCCTCACAAACACGCCGTCCTGGCCTGTCTTTGCGAAACATGTTGAAACTCTCTAACTGCACTTGAGAGGATGGCACATTTTCTGATAGCCATGTCTCAGTCAGGCATATGATATCAGCTTTGACCAAACACGTCGACTTCAGACTTTTAAAATGAGCTACAAGTCCTTCGGTATTGTGATGGACAATGTTCAATTTTGAGACTTCATTTTCAGATCTGTCACCAACATTCGTGAATGGATTAGATACAAATTTGAAGTGCTTCATGTCACTGATTGCCCCCTGCAATTCCTCGTCACAATAGATCGACCCCTGCTTATAGTCTGTGATCTGGAGACCAGCTATGGAACGAACCCTGCTTAAAGCCACATACGCCATACCTGATACAAAGACTTTTTTCATTGAGACTACTACTTCATCAGTCGTCATGCCCTGTACTTTATGTACTGTACAGGCCCAAGCTAGGGGAATTTGGTTACGTTTGACTTTACTTTTGTTCTTTAACCCTCAACAGTACACCTTCCCGGACTGATTAATCTGTACACCTGGGGTCCGCGCGGACCCCAGAACAGTTTTTTGCTAATTTTTAGAAATTATCTACATGCTACCAGCTCAATTGTTTAGCAAACTGATGTGGAAACCTCTGTGTCCACATTACATACAAAAATCATACATTTTGAACTTTTTCTATTTTTGGGTGAAGAAAAGAAGACAAGAAGAAATACCCGATTTTTAAACCCATTTCAGACTGAAGGGGCTTTTAAGGCCAAACTTTGATCTCAGATAGCGGCTAAACGGCTTGCGCTAAAAGTATCAAATTTGGGGACCTTTCCTAAAATGTCTCTGGAAAAAAGTTCATATTAGTTTAATACTAGTAAGTTGATGTTTTTTTGTGTTGTCATGGCAACGGGTTTCTAGCTGGCATTTTTTTTAAATAGAAGTAATTTTGGTTTAAACATAAAAATTTTCTGAGTTTTATATTAAATTACACTTCTTTTCCAACATTAATAACATCTTACATAATTAAATATTAAAAGTTAAATCATTTAATATGCACAGAATATGCTAATTTGATGACGTCATTGGTCAAAATCCAATATGGCGGACTATATTATTAGCTCTGACGTCATATGACGTCATAATTACACCAAAGTTATTAAAATTTAATTCTATTACTCCACCATGTCTGAAAACTTGGCAGACATACGATGAGTGCATAAAAACATATAAAAACGGAAATAAGGTAATGTTTAAGAACGCCAGTGTATCCATTATGATCGAAAGCCGGCTGGGGTTCGCGCGGACCCCAAAAGAAAATCAGATATAATTTTTTTTATAAATGGTAGAAACGGAGTTTTCTGCACTGTGTTGAGAGACAACTTTGTGGGTGACAATTACCTAAAATTTCAGAAAAAAATCTTTAGAAACAAAAAAGATATTACAGAATATATAGTGCTGGGGTCCGCTCGGACCCCAGGTGTACTGTTTAGGCTTAAGTTGTCCTCAATCTGACGTACAGGAACCGAATTGACAGGTAGACTGTGGGAACTGCACTTTTTTGCCTTTCGAGAGCGCCCGCCTTTGGGTTATCAAACTACACAAAAACAGTTGCAGCTTCCCTTGCATCATCCTGACCACCTGCTACCCCAGACACTGTTCCAAATGCACCGTTCACTGGACCATCCGCCACATTGACATTTCTAGAAAGCATGACCCTAGCACCAACTCAACTTTGACAACATCAGGGAGGTCGTCTTTTCCTCCTCGAGCGAGATCTCGCCTCTTCATGGAACCTGTTGTGGGATCTTTGACGAAATCAGAGGCTTCAAAACATCTTACATCTGGACACCTGAGTCTCAACATCTTGTCATTATGCTCTGCAACAGCTATGTTAGTGGAAAAGATGTGAAGCGCATCTGCTTTAAAGTCTACAGATAACACCCTTGAAGACAGAATTTCGTCATCTTCATCTGAAAGTTTGTCTTTCTTTCTCTTTACCCTCATTCAATTCAACAGCTTTGCAAATGCAGCATCATCCTTCTGCCTCATGATTTCCTCAAGTTCAACTACTTCAAAGTTGGGATTCCACAAGTCGGAAATATCTCTGTCTCTTTCCTTGTAGAGACTTATTCCCTTGACTGGAGGAACCTGATACATGTCACCTACTGCCAAGATGCTTACATTTCCAAACAGTGCATTTGGCCTCCCCTGTCTCAATTGACGCAACCTAAGGTGAATAAACTTCATGAGTGTTTTATCGACCATCGACACCTCGTCTACAATCACAATTTTGAGGCTTTCATATTGCGCTCGCATAGCATTAACGGTACTCTCGGAAAGGTTCTGACAGTCCTTTGTCTTACACATCAGATGGAACGCATGGTGGATAGTGCTTCCACTAATGTTGAACGCAGCAGTTCCTGTGGGTGCTGCAAGCAGAACAGAGACACTGTCAGGGTTTTCCTGTGTCTGCTGTAGTAACCTGGTAGCCTCGTAACATATGCATTTGATAAGATGACTCTTTCCAGTCCCCGCACCACCCGTTAGGAAAATATGAAATGGATCTGGTCTCTTTCCCTGCGCAGTCTCCATGCACCACTTTCGCACAAAATAGAAAACCTCCTGCTGTTTTGGATTAAGTGACTGCATCATGGGGATTGCAACATTTGATGGGACCTTTGTCTGACAGGCTTCTAGGGTGAAGCTTTTTTCTTTAGGTCTGTCAGTTGGTGCTAGATCAGGAATGTCATCCTGTGTGTCTTCATCCTCGTTCACTTGATTTCCTGCGTTATTTTGACACTCGAGTCTCTCTTGCTCCAGTTCTGGGAAGATCTGGGCCCAGACGTCTTCTACAAAACTACCGTCTTCTACGTCTTTACGAGCCTGCTCGATTTCCTCCACATTCTGTTCAAACTTACGCCTATTCGCATGCACAATGGCATCAACCTTATTATTCGTATTCGACAAAGGAGCAAACCCATCAGAGTAGAATTCTTCATACTTTTCATATTGTGGTGGTTTCAACTGCGCATCATTGTAGTGTGGCAAGTACAACTTCAGCAATGTTAAGTAGTATCGCTCTGGCTCTTTTGCTTTATTAAACTTTGCAAAGCGGATGACTGCTGGCTTAAACCTCGTACGTTTTTGTACGGCCCCCAAATTATCCCTCAGCACATGCTTCACTTCTCCTCTAGATGACTGCTCACCGTTATCTTGTGTGCCCGAACGAGAAACGACACGATACTCGGAGACGAACTCTGCAGCACACATTGAACAGAAGGGTTCTTCCTGTGGTCTTGCCTCGTATCGATCCATGATGCTTGGCATCCAGATGCTTTCGTCCTCAGAGTTGCCCTCACTTGCCATCTGTTGAATGGCCGCCAATGGTTTCGACAGGCGATTAGCTTGCTCATCTGTTGGTATGAATATGACGTCTCTCGAACAATCCTTTAACTTGAGGCTGCACACTCGATACACTGCCTCCTGGGCACTCACTTCCCTATGGTGAAGGTACCTGGTGCCAACTTTTTTTCATTTCAGTCACTACATCCTCGTTGCCTTCTCTTGCCTCTTTCTGGGCCTGTTTGAGTAGCTTTCCCATTTCTCTTTCTGCTTTGCTGATGTACGACACAATGTACCTGACACAGCTATATGCATCCAAAACATACTGGATGTTGATGTTTGCATTCCAAGCCCGCAGTAGATGTGGATTGTAATTGTTCACCCACATGTCCTTTGGCTCACGCCTGAGCATTACTTGCTTCCTGGTTGCCATCAAATTCAAGGCCTCACATAACTGTGCTGTGGTGATCTTTGCCTCCTTTAGAAGATCTTCTGTAGAGCAGTTTTCTGGCTCATTCTTCTTGTCCAACACATCCCAGAAATGTTTCAGGACTGCTTCGGCTTGCTTCTTTTTTCTGAAATGGATGCCAATTCTTCATCGGTCAGGTCCTGCAGGGCTACCGGGCTGCACAGAAACGTCTGCTTTACTGGAGGTTTAGGGAATCCAAACCTACAGACCTTGCCACCTTTCTTGCACGACGTCGTATGACCTTTTCGGTGCATTTGAACCTGACTAACTATGTCAAACAACTCTTTATCCGTCTTTGGGTTGGGTAGCTGACTAGAAACATACTTGTCTACAAAAGCGCAGATTTCTTCTTCAGAATTTACATTCAATTTTGGCGCATCTTTTACCCAGAACAAACAATGTATGTGCGGACTTCCGCGCTGCTGAAACTCTGTCCTGGTGAATGTATCCACTACCTCTCCAATCGGTTGCGATGGAGACTTAATGACGTGTTTGAAAAACTGCTTGACTCGGTGATCGAACATGCGCGCAGCAGTGACAGGATTACTCTTCAAATTGTCGCAACGCTCTTCCCAGGACAAATTGCTAACTGGTACCGTGCTGTCATCTTGTCGAATTGCTTCCAATGCTTCTGGCCATCGCAAATCTGCGGCAGAAAATGTTGCAAACCACGTTGGAATCCCAAGCTGCCTTATCATTGCATACAATCCATTTAGTGCCCTGTCCCAGAATTGCGGAGTACCTCTGACTGGCTGAAGGAAGCGATAGCCTTGATCTGACCTGTAAGTCTTCTCTGTTCGACAACATTCCAGCAGATATTCTACGGCCATCACTTGTTGTAGGCGAACCTTTGCGCATAGATATGGAAATGTTCGATTGTATGAAGCGCAGTTCTGTTACATATTGTGCAAAGAATATGTAGCTAGTATCTCTTGCAAACCGTGTATCTGCACCCATAAGCCGCGCCTTGAAGTACTTGCTAGGCGTAATACGCACATCGCGATCATCATTAAAGGAAAACTTCCCAGTGGGAAATTGAACAGGGAAAGACATTGCCTCTCCTCCAACCTCCTGAAATACAGAAACTGGCTTCTCCCCCTCTCCTGGAGCTACACACAGGATGTGTTCATCGTGGTGGTCAAGAAACTCCTGCCCTATGTCTATTGGCTGAAGGCAAGTATCATGCGGCAGCCCCCGAAAGCTGTTGTCCAGTAACTCCTCCTCAGTCAGAGCTGCTTCTTCCATTGCTTCTTCCACATTCACCTGTTGAAGAATGTTGTCCATTTCATCATCTTCCATACCATCTTCGGTTGGCCCTACCATGCCATTCCCATCTTCACTGACTGACTCTCCGTGCTCTGGAATTGTACGTGCTTCTGAGTTGTCTTCCACCGTGGGTTCGGCAACAGATGGTTCGACAAGCCCTTCTTCTTCGTTCCAAGACAAAGCCCAGTCTGCATCAATACTCGTGCCCCGGTAATGTTCATTATTTTCTACAAGATACTTAAGAGCTGCATCTACTTTCATTGGACTAATCTGTCTATACATGTAATATCCACTGTACTGTAGCTTCCTCTTAAGTTTCACTTTGATTAGCAGAGCTTCTGTAGGCATTCTGGGAAGGACTGCATGTGTTTCACTTACATCTGCTGGGACACACACTACAGGACCTATAACTCCCTTCTGACCCCCTTTCGGGAGAGCGGCAACTTTCATAAATGGTATTCTCTTAGCTATACGTTGTGACTCCAGAGTATTGAGGCTCTTCAGCTCAGGAGGTATTTCTGGGAGCTTCATTTTATTACTCTGGGCCTCAAATGGAATGGTCTTTTTATTCCTCAAGTGCTCATGACAACAGTGACATACCCACTCTTTCCCCTTGGATAAGTTTACTATGGAACATGCATTTGGGCCGCAGTTTTCAGTGCATTCATGTATGTATTTACCCGTGGACAGACAGAAGTGGACATCCGGAACATACTTTTCTTTGTGACAGATTACAACTTGATCACGAAACAAAAGCCTATGGCATACAGTGCAAACATATTCTGGTCCCTTTTTGTATTCCACCTGGAACTTTTCAATGGCCTTCTTAACATCTGGTAAATTCTGGTTTCTTTCTCTGTTGATGTGCACATTTCTTTTCTTCAAATCTCTCTGCTCTGGATCTGTATGATATCTATCCTTTTCGCGGTCTCGCTTCTCCTGCGCATGCTCTTCATCAGTGTGGTAACGCTCCTTCGTTTTGTCTCGCTTGTCCTGTGCATGCTCATGATCAGCGTGGTACCGTTCCTTCTTTCTATCTATCACGCTCAGCCTGGGCATGGTCTTCATCGGTGTGGTACCGTTCCTTCGTTTTGTCTCGCTTCTCCTGCGCATGGTCTTCATCAGCGTGGTACCGTTCCTTCTTTCTATCACGCTCAGCCTGGGCATGGTCTTCATCCGTGTGGTACCGTTCCTTCTTTCTATCACGCTCAGCCTGGGCATGGTCTTCATCCGTGTGGTACCGTTCCTTCTTTCTATCACGCTCAGCCTGGGCATAGTCTTCATCCGTGTGGTACCGTTCCTTCTTTCTATCACGCTCAGCCTGGGCATGGTCTTCATCAGTGTGGTACCGTGTCTTCTTCCTGTCCCGTTGTGCCTGGGCATATGTCTCATCTTCTTGGTACCGTTTCCTTTCTCTCTCCCGCTTGGCCTTTTTCCGGTCATCATCATTGTTGTCACTCAGTGTGATCTTTCTCTTGCTGCTGGTAGCTTCTGAAGCCTCTTTACCTTCTTGTCTGCAGCACCGTGACATGCTCCTTGTCTGCCTACGGCTCAAAACTGTTGTGACAACATTAAAGTGATCCTCATTTTCATGTTGTAAGTACACAGCATTACTTGTTTCTGACATGGTCTTATCATAAATATTCTCATTTGATGGGTACTTACACCATGTCCACTTGTTGCCATACTTAGTGTACAAAAAGATGCGTATTCCCAAGAATAAAGCCATTGCATCCATTTCTACCTCTGTGGCCCATGCACTAAACCCTCCTGGACGTTTCCCATTGTGAGCCCAATCCGCACGAGCCAGGTACTGGTCCATGGTTAGTCCTCCGTCGAACCAAGACCTGTAAACATCCTCAGACAATGTTGACATAAAGTGAATCAAGTGCTGCCTTACTACATGATGATACATTTGGGTGCCACAGATATGGTGACTTATGGCTCTATAGAAGCAGTTCCCATCTTTGTCTATTTTGACAAGATCACTAGAACGAGGTGGCCCCAGAGGGATATTCCTTTGCTTCATATTATGGGGTTTTGCTACAGGGAGGTTTAACTGACCTGCAAGGTGCATTTGATCATCTGCTGTCAATGGGTTAAACATAAACTGTCCATCCTGATCCTCCCAGGCCCCTGTTACATCTACCTCTTGTTCAACAGCTGGCCCCTGCCCTGTTACCTCTACTTCCTGCTCATCAGACAGCTCCTCCTCTCTGACCTCTACCTCCTGCTCAACAGCTGGCTCCTGGTCTGTTATCTCGGCTTCCTGCTCATCAGCCAGCCTCTCCACTTACTGCTTTGCCTTCCACACACTCAACCTCTTGGGCACTTTCCTACGCCTTGGCATTTCTCCTGAAATTTACCAGAATGTACAAATATTTTTAGAACTATAGTATACATGTTATACTATATAGACGATAAACCGGACAGTGAGTGAGTGAGTTATATACATTCAACTTTAAAATTTGTTAATGTTATTGCTTGCAGCACGTACCAACATTTCCAAGATTATATGGATGATATGAATGTCCCCACTAAATATACAGTATACCTGTGCAAACTTTATATGTATATGTTCAATGCAATGATACCACACGAGCAATCGCCATGACTTCACGGTAGGCAAAGAGCGGGTGACGGTTGCCTACCAATAATTTGCGTATGTCTTTAAATAATTTGCATATATATGATGTAAACAAAAGCAGCAATCACTCGTATACAATCATTTTTACCGGTAGTAGATTTTTTGACTGAGTCTTTCAACATGTTTCACAAGGATGGGGCAGGTGGGCGTGTTTGTGAGGATTCTTCACACAATTGGGTGAATTTTCTTGCCAGCTCACAGACCATTAATTCATGGTATATAATATAATATAATAATATAATACAATATGTGGTTGCCGTTATTTAGGAACAATATTGGAAAATCATACACATGTATATCATTCCACATCATGAGTAAAACCCTAAACTATAATTTTATTATGACATTCAAAATGTTTTCAAACTATGATGAAATCTCTTAGACCAAGGAAGTCAAAATCAAATCTTTACAAAACCTCCTTGCTTAGACGATTAGAATTGAAAGGATTTATTATCAGGCCATCCCCACATAATGTCCTTGCTGCTGTACCTTCGAAAAGTGGAACAAGGCTTCGAAATTCGAATGTACGAATTTCGAAAATTCGAATACCAAACTTTTGCCCGAATTTTGATCGAATCGGTGCTCGAAAAGAACAAAGTCGTTGGCGTTCCCGTTCTCAGTAGTTTGATTTTTTTTCCCGAGCAACAGATAACAAACTACAACACGGTTGAGTTCTTAACCTCCATGTTTTCACGAAGGAAGTTTTAGTAACTTTTAAAAGGTCCTTGGTGAGAAATCAGTAAATAATGAAATATACAAGGGCATGCAAGTCATCCTACCTGCCAAATACTATTCACTAATTTCAGGCATTTGTATTAGTTTAAACAGATAATATGCAGCTGCTCTATGTCATTTTTTGGGCGGGAAAAATAATCGTGAAGTAAACAAACACTCACCTTGCCCTCGCGATCTTCGATATTTCTCTTGACAGAAAACTTCTGAACCGGCGCGACGTCTTCCTAACCAGTCGTTCAGTTGTTTTTGTAAGAAATGAAACAAAACTCTTTCGCTGTTCGGTGATAGATTTGGAAATTTCCCGTGAAGAAATGACAGAAAATTTCCTGACCGAAGTCAAAATTTCTAGATTTGGTAAAGTGTCGTCTGAGGAGTTCTCTTAGTAAAACCATCGCCGGAGATATCAGAAGGGGTGAGAGGTTTCAAGGTACTATTTTTAAAGTATCACATTGCGTTTGTATTTTTGTAAAGACAAATTATTTACATGTTCGAACTAAAATACTCTGAGTTATATATATTTTGCCAGGTTCAATGGTATTTGAGACAGAAAAATGATCGTTTATTCCGATTAAAAATAGGAAGTTTACCCAGCTTGCAGATGGAAACGTCCACTTATGCAACACAACACAATTCTCTCGTTCTCAATTACATATGTCACAAGCTTGAATAGTCCTATAATGTAATAAACCTGATTTATAGAATTTCCCCATTAATTATGCAAATTAGATCCAGATTTGCATAATTGTCGCAGAATTATGTCAAGCGTCACTTGAGCTACCTACATACCAAAAATCACGACGATACGTCCACCAGTTCTTGAGTTATCCTCTTTTGAATATTTTCAAATAGATAGCCCTGCAGTTCCTGAGCAAGCCGCTAGTCGCTCATGTAACTTCTTCCCCAGCATGAGGGCTACCTACCATCCAAATTTCGTCACCCCAGCATGTCTAGATCATGAGATATCGAAACCGGAAGTTTAGCTGCAGTACCATAACAAGTCGCTAGGGGGTCCAAAATCTAATCATTTCCAGGTCTCATTAAGACCTACCCACCTACCAAATATCAAGATAATCCATCTAAGCTTTCTCGAGTTATGCTGTTGACAGACACACACACAGACACACACACAGACACACAGACACACGGCCACGAAAACATAACCTTCTTGGCGAAGGTAATAATGCCCAATAAAACGCCTATATTCGAATCTTTAACATCTGCTTGTAGTCTAAGTTATTACGTAGTAACCAGTCACTCACCTTGCTCGGCAGTCACCAGCCAGGCGCAGGTGATCGCGATGACGCAGAACAGCACCCGGAGAAATACCATGTTCGTCCCGCACATTTCTCACAGAGTATCTCGGTAAGGTCTGGGCGCCTAAAGTACGCTCCTTCAACTAACCGAACCGCTGGTCTAATTTAGCGGTTTTGGTATTCGTTGGTTAACTTGTAACTTCAAAACAAGCAAGGAAAACATACAAACAGGTGACCAAATGGTCAGGTTGAGTCGGGTTTTGAAGCCAAAAGTGGTGCTTCCAAAATTCAAGCACCTCTTCACAGCTCAACTGCGACTGAGAAGGCTGACGGGAGATGAACTATTTGACAGCAAGCCTGTCAGGGCTATACCATTACGACCATGGGTAGAAGTGCCCTTTTAAACGACATCATCATTGTCGAAGTAACCTAATCAACAATGATTTATAATACAGAATAGATGGTGTCTATAAAAGGCAGGCATGTGTGTACGTGTAACCTCAACTAACGAACCAGGTTATTACACTTAAAAAAAGCGCGGTGCATCACATCCCCCCTCCTAGAAAGTGAGTCAGTAGTGTAAACGGCCTCCTCACTGTTACCATGCGCTGATAAACATACGGAAAACAGACACACCTGCACGCTGGCGAAATCCCTGGTCTTAGAGTTCAGAAAAGACATCTAAAATATTCATGTCCAATGCAGTCGGTTACAATGCTCGTGGATTACTTGCTACAGAGACTTGTGTTAATTGCCTTGTAATTGTGCTCAGCACGTGGAACTACCGAGCCGGTGTCACGGCACATACGTTTTATCACCATCGTCATGTCTAACGTACTATTCACCCATTCTCTCTCTCTCTCTCTCTCTCTTTCACTCACTCTCTCTCTCTCTCTTACACACACGTACACACACACACACACTCACTCTATCGCTCGCTCTCTCGCTCTCGCTCTCTCCCTCTTCCACAATAGAGTCGCTGACAGGGCATGTTGCATCGTGTTGGAGAAACATGCTTCAAAAACAAAAAAAAAAACTGTGACGAAAATGTCTTCAATAAGGAGCTTAAAAGTAAGTGATGAAAAATTAAATATTCATGGCAGCAGCCAGCCTTTCACAATGGTAATTTCTGCTGTTTGTACTCGTACAAGGCAGGAGATGACACCCACACACCCCACACAGATCTTTCATGGATAGAGAACTTTATTGACACAATAACGAGTTTCGTGAGGTCCCTAACTAGACATGAAAACAGACACGTGGGTAAAGAAAGGATGAACCTACGTACAAGACTTTAGATAAATCAACTTGTTCTAAGGTCTAAAACTCTTTGATATATTTACCATAAGGGCTATTACCTTCTAGAATGAAATTAAATTTATCTATAGCATGGAATGTAACAAATCCGGGTAAACGAGCTAGCGGAAAGAAGGTTAAACAGCTTTGTGCGTTCATCATTATACAGTGGACAATTCTGTATCTGTATCTGTATTGCCGGTATAACAGCCCTTCGGCGTAACACACCAGATTCGCAGTTCGGAGACACGCGGCGCGGCGGCAGCTGACTACATTACATGTACACCGAACGACTTGTTACACCTAACCCTTGAACATCTAACTCTAAACATTGTTTAAGCTATCTAATGACAATGTCCCTACTGTACTGAAAGAATGAGTTTTTGAACACCTCAATTTTTGGTTGATAACTCTGATACTTGAAGGCATGGCTATTTCTTGTTCTTTTCTGGGCTGGTATTAGGTACTTAGTAGTTTGTAGGTACACCAGTTTATTAGTCATTTTGTACATCATGCATAGTCGGGAAATTTTTGTCTGTCTTCCAGTAAGGCCACACCGACTTAATTTTATGGATGACATCCGCGCCTGTTTTTCGCCTGTTCTAAGAAAAGGAACACCTCCAAGGTACTGGCCTGGGTAGTCCAAAGTAGTTAACGACAATACGGAGCTCTGGATGATAGCACCCAGGCTATGCTGAAGCTCCACGACTCAAGTGTTCAGTACATACAGTACGTACAGTGCCGACTCATAAATTCCACAAAAGGCCGGCGTGTGCCGGCTTGTCGTATATGTCGCTATGTACCACCGCAAATTTTTGACCGGAATTCTTTTATTCACCCGCGCGCACTAGTTTGGGGGTCTTCTGAGGATGTCATCCATAAAATTTAGTCGGTGTGGCCTAACACACCCTGCAGGTGTCTTCCTTTGATAGCAGGCGGTACGAACGAGAGGGTGTAGATGTTGATCTCTCACGCGATCTGTTTTTTTTTCATTCCAACATTTCATGACTAGACATGGTGACGGCACACTCAAGTTATTTCAACTTATTATATGCCATCACCAACGCATGTTGACAAATACGGAATAGGACAATACTCATTTCACTTGAGTTAAGTGAGGAAATTCGTGTTAAATGTCTTTCCCAAGGGCACAAGACCGGTCTTGCCAGGACTCGAACCCGGGACCTCTAGGTTCCGAGTCTAGTACGCTACGCCACACAACCCCACACTGTCACGCGATCTGTTGGAAGGAATGTAGTTACTATGAGGATGATTTCATCACATGATGACACAAATTAGTGTGCAGGCACTTAGCTTGATCTTTCCAACAATGGCGGAGCCTTCCCTTCACTCGTCTGATTGCACCGGCCTTCTGTTCAATGGACATCGGATAGTAAGGCCGTGTTTAAGTGGAATCACCCAAACCTCGATTCGGGTAACTCACATTCCTCACATCTGGTCCACGTTCCACACACTCCTGTGAAACCGTGTCCGATCACAATTCGCTTGAGCTACATTTATTGCTGTTTGATGATAACACGCAAGGTGGCGTGTTATTAATCTCAGAGGTCAACGACCTGCTTGCTGATGCCCCCCTCCCAGCGTATCTCGGCCGAATGCCGAGGTGGTCCCGGCAGAGGCGGTGAAGCTCGTCCTAGAACGGACACATTAATTGACAATTACTGCTCTTTAAGTTGCTGCCACGTAACAGTTGGTATTGCATATAAATAAAGAAATATCATCCCGTAATCCATGACCAGGCGAAGTCACATTGAAATCACATTGCGTTCAGACGCAAATCGCGATGCGGGGAAACCGATTCGAAACCACCTCTAGAAGTGGCTTGGGATCGAGGCGCTTTCAATGTTATTTCGGAGCGTTCAGATGGAGCCACTTGAAACCGGCTTCGGGGTAAACCACATATAAACCGCCATGGGTGATTCCACTTAAACACGGCCTAATACTAATAGAGAACCAACAATGCGGACGGCAGGATCCAATAGAGTTAATGGCATTTGAATATTTCATGAGGCAGTATGCTTCGTATGCGTCACAGTACCGTTCCCTTGGCAACCATGGTGTCTCCACCAGACCCATATGGATGCTAGAAAATAGTGTAAATTGGTCTGAGTTACCTGTACATGGTAGAAACGGTCAAAGAAGGATCCACCTGTGTGTCCGTACAGTAATTGATGCCATCGTGATCAAATTATGATAAAGTGTCACATCTTCTGCTTTGTACGAGCAGCATATATATATATATATGTAT